CGCAGAGCTTGCTTCTGCAGAGCTGTTATCACAAAAATCTCTCCTTACAAATTCTTTTTTTTTTTTTTAAAGAAAGGCTTATGCTCACCCAGTTCTGAGGCAGCTCACCCAGGATATTATTCTCTTTGTAGCTGTGGAAAGAAATGATTTGTCTTTGCCTTGGATGGGAATGGCTCCAGGTCCTAATCCTTCTGACAAATAACTAGAGGCTAATCTTGCCCCAGGAATGCAGGCCAGGCAGGGCCCAGGAAGAGACAGAGAAGAGGAGGCAGATGACAGACGAACCTGTGCGTTTCCCTGTGGTCCTCCATCCTCAGCCCTGGACTGGGTGACCAGGAACACTGTCTGAGACCTGTCAGCTGAGGTCACACCCAGAAATGCCAGTCTCCACTTTTCCCTGTAGAAGGAGGGTTGGTCCAGATGCAGACAGACAGACAGACTAAGCAGGGCTGAGGTGTTTCACAGGTCGGTAGTGGCTGCCACTATCTGGCTGAGCACCTTGTCTGTCCCTGGCTGCTGGTGTGTGCAGGTGACAGGAGTCAGATCCCTGGCCTGACCGGAGTGCAGTGGGAAAAGAGGTATGCAGTGATGCCCATGGCCAGCATGGGCTGCTAACGCTCTGGGCCCTCAGAGAGGGTGTGAGTTCTTGGGCATCCGGCCATGACCCGGTGCGTGTGCTATGTCTTTTGGACAAGCCTGTAGAGAGTGCCAGGACCTGGCACTTTCCGCATCCCCAGAGTGCATGGCATGTTTACACTGACTGCTGCCCGCCTCTTCACATCTGCCTTCAATGCAGTGCCCTGGCCTTCATCCTGAAGGAGTTCCTGGGTGCCCGGGTGGGAGATGTATCTCCCCTGGACGCCGTGCGGGGCCCAGCCGGCAGCGACAGGGCTGGCACTTTAGCACGGGGCTTCTTATTCCTCGGCCAGTATCAGTCTACCTTGAGTGACATCACAGTGCAGGGGTTGAGGACAGCAGGTGGTGTTCTACCAGAATGACTTTGGGTGTGGACAGGCAGCTAGAGACTCTGTGGCTGTACTTTGGTTCTGCCTGGGATAAAGGAGTCAGGTACAGTCATGTTGCCCCCAGAACTCCCTGATCCCCCCCCCCCCCCCCCCAGGCCCTGTAATGCTTTGCTCTGGACAGCCTTGTTTATGGACTATGTGAGTCCAGCCCACTCTGCAGTTATAAGGTGTCAAGTGAACAATTTCCTCTCCTGGCTCCTGCCAGGACCCAGCATTGGGAAGGGTGGTATCAGAATCCAGGTCTGATTTGGCATGGGCTGTGAGGCCCAAAACGTGGGTAGTTGCTTGTTGAAACACGCTCTTTTTTTTTAAAGATTTATTTATTTATTCATATAGAGCTGGGGTTCAGGCCAGAGGCTCAGGGGCGGTGAGAGGCTGCACCAGAGACAGAGCGGGGAGCAGAACAGGCAGATCTACGAAGTACACTGCTGAGGGGAGCAGCGGGCGGGTCAGGAGAGGTCTGCCACACCATGTGGTCACCTCCGGGGCAGGCGGGAATCGAACTCATGCGGAAGCGGCTTTAGATTCTATGTTGTGCTTTAACCCGCTGCGCCACCAGGGAGGGCCGAAACACGCTCTTTAACAGTGCTAATTAGACACCCATTCTCAACTCCCTGCCAGGCCCTGGCAAAGCTCGGAGGACACTGACATGGCCAGAGGGGCCCTGTCCTGCAGCTGCTCACCTCCTGGGTGCACACCGTGGGACCCAGGATGAGTTACATGGGGCTTTTACCATCTATGGGCAGGACCAGCTGAAAACTTTCTTGAGTGTCTGACTTTAAAAATATTTAATAGGAACTTATCTTTATTATTGAATTCATATCCTATGTGACAATATATATATGTATGTATAATATTATGTGCTAACTGAAGACCATTCTGAACTTTTAGAGAATGTTCAGAGCTTTTCAGAGCAGGCCTGGGACCTTTGCATTAAAATTATGGGCTTTTTTCAAAGTCTCAGAATTCTTCCTTCACATGGCATTTTGGAGTTAGGGACTGGCAGTCATGGGTGGGGAACCCATCTGTCCCCAGGCCCTGCTGCTCCCAGCCGTCAGTGCACCCTCCTTCACCCCCAGGAGGTACAAAGTTCTGATGAGGAGCCAGGCACTGTTGTTTGGAGAAGTGGGCTGCCCCCAGCAGAGTGGCGAGAGCTCCTGTGCTCGCTCTAGCCAGCGGTTTGGGTGTCTGGGAAGTGCAGCGTGGAGTTGTTTGCTGCACCTGTTTCCAGGTGTGGGAGTACAATAGCGAGTTGAACTTTCCGGCAGGTGTGCAGATGTGCAGCTCTCCTGGAAGAGCGCACACCCCCTCCTGGGACGCCCACAAGGTCAGAGAATGACATCTGGTTAAGAGCCGCCTGGATGTCAGGGACCCCAGCAGGCATGAAGCAAAGCTCAAATGAGCCAGGAGCCAGTGGCACAGTTCAGGGAGCTGCTGCTGCCCATGTGAGCAGCACGTGGTGCCCAAGGTCATGTATGTGGCAGGAACAGAGGGCAGACAGAGGCATCAGATGACGCCATGGTAGTCAGGGGCTCTTTTTGAGAAAGATCTCTCTGGCAGTGCTGAGCTGCGAAACCAAGGAAATCTCGGAGCTAATCTGGGGCCTCCGTGGATCAGGAGTGAAGGATCCAACCACAGGGTATCTGTTGGAGAGCTTACCCCAGCCCAGAAAGGATGCGGTTGGGTTGAGAAATTCCCCTGTGGCTAACTCACACTAATGGAATGTCAGCAGTGCAAGGATATCAGCCTGTGTCGTCTGTAGAACTGTAACGCCAGCTCAGCTACTTCTGTTCCAGCACATGGTGTGGTCAGTCTGCCATGGACCACTGTGGCTCTTGGGATGCAGAAAGCAGGAGGCGGGGAGGGTCTGGCAGAGTGTGCTGAAATGGAGGCTTGCCTGGGGTGGGGGCCTGGCACCCCCCTCCCCCCCGCAGGTCAGCCCAGGGAGCTGTCCCAGGAACAGCAGCCCAGCCTGGAGTCCCTGCTGCCCAGGAGACTGCAGTGGCTGAAGAACCCCGCAGCCTTGTGATAGAACTGAGCCTGGGGGTCCCCTCCCCTGCAGGAAGGGTGTCTCACTTGTCACCAACTCCGCTGCTCCAGCAGGCCTAGTCCTTCCCACCCCCACTCTCCCTACTCCCCACCTACTCCCAGTCACCCCCTACCCCGCCCTCCTTTGTATCAAGTACCAGCTCCAGAAAGATCCTTTTGTTCTTCCTTTGCACTTAGCTCCAGCCCAAATTGCAGCACTTGACTCTCCAGGCCATTGTCATTTTTAACACTAATGTTTATAGAAGGCAGAAGTCATGTCTTCATATTTGTAAAGCAGTGGTTTTTTCCACTTATGGAATGTGTTGGAGCCTTCTCCAGTCTAGAAAGGAGAATAGGGGTGGCAGAATTAGTCCTTCCCAGCAGCTGCCCACCAAGGTGCCAGTCCAGGCCCATGCAGTCCACGCTGCCCTCAGGATCATATAGCCAGATGATTCACTAGTATTTGTTTTAAGAAGAGCACAGGACATCCTAGGAGTCTGGGAAAGCTTCCTGGGGGAGGCAGGATTCAAAGTCAGGCATGGGGGTGGATGAAAGTGGAGAGGTCTGGTGGGGGGGGGGTGCTGTCCCTTGCTGCAGCCTGAGAGGTCTGGGGTGGGGCTTGGATCACAGGGGTGCACCTTGCCTGCATGCAGGCTCAGCTTCCTTGGGGGGCGGGGGGGTTATGTGCCCACTTCAGGTGAGCCAGCAGAGCCGCCGAGCAGTGAAAGTGATCAAGTTCAGGGCCTGACAGTGACATGGATTCTCCCAGTGGGGATTAGAGGGGGAGCTTGCTGCTCACCACCCAGTGAGAACTGGGGTCACAGCCTTGTTTGGGCCTCAGTGACTCAGCCAAGTTCTCTGCAGGCTGCCCAGGCAGCTGGTGTACATCTCTGTGGCTGGCAGTGCCCACAGTAAGAAGATCAGAGTGCTTCCATAAATAAATAGCCACTACCTTGGGCCTTCTAAGTGTCCCCAGCTGCCTCCACCCTCCAGAGGACCCCAGGTTTCCCCGGCAACTCAAGGTCTAACACTGGCACAGCAGGGTATCCCGGGTGCCCAACCTGGTTCTGATGAGCCAGTGTTCATGTGGTCTTTGCTGTGTCCTGGGCAGACAGAGGGAGAGAGACATTAGCCCTCTTGTGGTCCTGCCTCTCAATGGGTCCAGCTCTTTCTCTCTGCAGCCCCTCTCAGGGCCACATACCCACGTGGTTGTGACTCAGGGGACTTATGTCCAGTTGAAAGAAATCCTGATGTTACTCCCTCCCTTTGCCCAGTCAATAGCTGTGTTCCCAGGTGACTGAGTAGGTGTTCATGCAGCTTAATCCTATTGACTATCTAAAGAGAATCCCTACCTTAGGCAATTCAGCGAAGAAATCTTGGAGTAAGTAAAACACAACCATCTTCATGTCTCCAAGGGCAGGAAACACAGTTTGCATTTCAAATGACAGGGTGTTAATTGAGCACCTACTGTGTGCTGGCAAGGGGGAGCAGAACTCTGCCCTTTTCACCATCCCATTGCATCGCCTCATGTCTCAGTTCAAAGTTGCTCTCCAGCTCTGTCTCCAACACAAGCCCCAGCGAGAGCCTGTGAGGTGTCAGTGGAGGGGGCCAGTGTGGATGAGGATGAGGTAAGAGGAACAGGACTAACAAGGACACTTGACCGTGCCAGAGGGTGGGACAGGAAGGCATGTACTTGGGGACAAGTGGGTGAGTGTTGTGGTCACTGAGAATGCAGACCAGTGCTGCGAGCTTTGGCAACTGGGTGGAGAAACTGAGGCAGAAGGAGCGAGTGATCCAGGGGCACAGCCCAGGCCACCACACTCCTGGGCACTCATCCTTCCGTGGGTTGGGCAGGTGGGAAGATGGGGCTGCTCTGGTGGGACAGAGCAAAACCAGGGGGATGGGGTCCTGCGGGATCATGTTGACAGTCGCTATCCCTCCCCGCAGCTTGATGTTCACCAAGGTGAAGCTGGAGCAGGTCCTGAAAGGCCCAGAGGAAGCCCTGGTGACCTGCAGACAAATGCTGCGGCTGTGGCAGACCCAGTACAACTTCTCCCAGCTGGGGTGAGTGTCTGCCTTGTCCCTCTGGTTGCTGGAGGGGGTGGGAGGGTGTGGGCAGGTGGTTGCCAAGGCAACGGCCCTCTTCCCCCTCTGAGTGGCCACATGCCTGGTGGGGTGGGGTGGGGTGGGGTCAGTGAGAATGTTTGAGAGAATGGGACTTACTGCTCCTGGGGCTTTTGACATCATCCCCAGCTAATTTTAACCTTTTGACCATCCTCTATGAAGTACATGAAAAATCTGTTTAGGAAGCTGAAGTTTAGAGGGATGAGAGGAAGGAATCATCACTGAGCATCTGGGCCAGATGCTGGACTTGCCACGTTATCTTTTACATCAACCACTTTTCCCTTCTGTGTTCTCAGGTTTTGTTCTTACTGCAGGAGAAACTGAGAATTTATGTAACTTGTCAGACTCACTGGCTTTGTAAATGGCAGTGCTGGGACCTGAACCTGGGTTTCAGCCCACAGAGCCTCTCTTTCCGGGTTCCATTAGGAAGCAGGTTCCCAGGGGCCCCATTCTCCTGCCCACGCACCGACGCTTGCCACACACAGCATCCTGTCCCCTGCCACAGTCCCCAGCCTGGGCTTGGGCTTGTCCTGTGCCCTAGCAGGACTCTCATCCAGGCTGAATCTGCAGAAAGTCTTTGCTCCAGTCCTCTAGGACACTGGGGTTCAGTCTGTGAGCCCAAAGCAGAAAAGGCCTCATCCAGTGCACTACCTCTTCCTGGGCCCTTGCTGGGAGAGCACTGGCTGTGTCATCTCCCAAAGGCCTCAGGGGAACAACTCTGCTGGGTATTTGTTGTTTCACAGGGATTCTGGGAGCCTAGAGGCCATCCATAATCCCCAGAGTGTCTCTAATGGTGATGTACAGAGGAGTAAATTTACTCCATCTAGGGCAGTTGATGGAGTGAAAACTGTACATCAGCCTTCTCTTTACTCTCCTGTGGGCTTGGGAGAGTCCAGGGCCAGTGGATAGAAGCTTCTGCCAGTGGGTAGAAGCTGCCAGAGGCTGGTTTAAAGGGGAAGGACTTTTCAGAAAAAAGGGAGTGCGAGGGCAAGGCTCTCATGTAGGAAGCACCCACATTTGGGTGCCCTCTGCTCTGCCCCTCGCTGGCTGTGGCCACAGGGCAGGGTACCATCTGGCTCCCTTGAGGGAGGGAGCCAGCCCTGGAGCTGGCAGTGGACACTGGGCACTCTTGCCAGGACCCTCTGAGCTACAGTCTTGCTACCCACATGCAGGCCTGTGCCTCCCTCTGGGCAGCAAAGCTGGGGCTGGCAGGTACTCTCCAGATTGGGGGTGGGGGGTGGGATTTTCTCTAGGGGGTGTGGGAGTAGCAGGGTCTTTTCAAATCGCTACCCATACTCTCATGTAGGATCTGAGGGCCTGGTGGGGCCCCTCGTAAGTGGAAGCCTCTAGGCACGACTCCTAGGGAACCTGGACCAAACTCTTGGGATCCGAGATCTGGATCCAATCCCCTCCAGACTTTTCCAAGAATAGAAAGGGTTCCTTATGAACAGTCTAGGAGTAAAAACTAAGTCTTATAAAATCTCCTTTGGAGCAGCCAGCAGTCAAGGCCAGAATCCACAGCCTGAAGGTCTGGCTGGCTCACTCTACCCCACCCCGTCAGCCCCATCTCATCATGCTCCTGGCACACCTCCTTCGTGCCCTGCCTTGGCCAGCCCAGATGACCCCGTAGGCCCCCCTCACTGCCTCTCCTTTGTGGCACCTCCAGTCACCCCGTCTCTAGTGCTCAGCCCTCTCCCTTGGGGTCTGCTATTGCTCAATTTGGACCATCTCTCCTCCCCACCTGGCCGTCAGGTCTTCAGGGTAGGGACAACGCTGTGGCTGTGGCCTAGAACCAAGAGGCAAGAGGCCTCACCTCCTCTCCACTCCCACCCCCAAGCCCAAGTTGGGCTTTTTCTAGCTCCTAGGCCTCACCCCCTAGGAAGAGGGGAAGGCAGTCGAGGAGGAGGAGCCATTCCTGGGGATAGGCTCAAGTCAGCTCGCTCTGCCTGCAGGGTGGGGTCATGTACACTTCACAGCAGCTTCATGAGATCGGCTTTTTCATGCTTATGTCCAGCTGAGAAAACTAAGACCTAGAAAGAAAGCTAGCTTTGCCGAAGGCCACACAGATGAGCAACGCGTGCTTCTAGCCCAGGGAGAACAGGAGAGGAAGGGATCCGCACTGACCCACTGTGGGGTTTGGATGGCTTCCTCTAGTGCCCAGGAAGGTGACTGTGCGCCCACAGGCCTGAGCCATGATGACAAAGACATGAGGTTCCAGCATTCGTGCGGCATCATTGTCTGGTCCCCCTCAGTCACAGGGTCCAGGGCCATGGGAGTCCCTGGCCGTGGGCAGGGGTGACTGAGGCTGTGTGCACTCCAGCACGTGCACAGCCGGCTACACTGCCTTTATGACTCGAGGCTCTCCCACCGTCCACTTTGAATAAAGAAGGACCTCCCTAGCATTGTGGGAACTGCAGGGACCTGGAGATTTGGGGTGGGGACAAGGCGGGCCCACCGTGGTGGTTTACCTACCACCCGAGGGCCCCTCTAACTCCTCGGGGCCATCTGCCAGCCCAAGGCAGGGAACCTGTGGCAAGAGTGGTCTGAGCCTTCCTTCCCAGGATGGCTGTGCTCCTGGTGGCCTGTGAGCCCCGGCCTTCCTCGCGGCCCGGTTACAGCCCTGCTCTGTGTGTGTCTCTCCTCAACTCTGTGAGGTCAAGCAAAGGGAGAAAAGACCTCCTGCCTCCTCCCTCGCCACCACACCTGTCTGGGGAAGCTTCTGGCCTCACCCACCTGAGGAAGGGGCTGAAAAGGAGTTTCTAATCCCCATATATGTGGCGCCAGGACCCATGCTGAGGGAGAGCCAAGGAGAAAGCTGCCAGAGGGGCCGGCAGCCACAGGAGGCCTTCCAGACAGATGAGCCCGCTGGGGCTGGTTCCTCGGCATGAGGGTTTTGGGCAAACTGAGGAGAACAGTGGGGACATTCTTGGTGGCAGCAGCATGAACAAGCTTGTCACGTTGGGAGCTAAATGTGCTGGTGTTAGAGGATAGTGAGTAGGTTGATGGCCCCTAAGGCCACAGTGGGTGCAGGCTCATGTGTGTGTGTGTGTGTTGTGTGTTAGGAGCAGTGGGGAATAGCAATATGTCAGTGCAGCCACTGGGCCGATTCTAGGATCCCGAACCCCTGTGCTCTGCACCATCCTGCCTCTGTGTGGCCCCATCTGTCCCAGTGATCCTGTGCTGGCTCTGTTCTGAGGCCTGAACTTTCAGCCGCAGAGCCTGCCTGGCATGAGTTTCCCTCGGTCTCCCTGCCAGCTCTCTGCCTCACCAGGGCCTGGCCCTCCCTTGCCTTCCAGTGGCCTGGAGAAGGATGGCAGCTTTGGCGAGGGCCTTGCTATGAAGAAGCAGAGCGGTATGCACCTGACCCTGCCCGATGCCCATGATGCAGACTCTGGTAAGAATGTGCCTCACGAGTGCACATCTGTGGGTGCACAAACAGGTGGATATGCACAACCTGCCAGCCCCCCTCCTACTCCCTCCCCAACCCCAGCTTGCTCCTGGCCAGCTACAGCAAGGGTCTGTGCTAAGGAGCTGCCCTGGCTGGACAGATGCCAGCACTGGGCTGGGTGGGGGGGACCCACCCTACCTGCGGGGCAGGGGTGAGCAGCGCCAGGGCAGGTTGGGTGCAAAGGAGCTGTGGAGCACAGCAGCCCTTTCTCTTAGTAGGCAGAAGCTCAACTCCAAGGTCTGCCAGATCCAGTCAAAGCAAAAGGGATGAGTTGAGCGTGACTTATATTTACAGCTCTAAGCCCAAAATCGTTTCTTGGAAAAACTCACCCAGACACCCATGACTTATGAGATGCAAATGAGTTCAGGAACTGCAAACTTTTACCAAGGGGTAGAGTGGAATTAAAGGAATACCTTCCTCAAAAAGCACAAGCAGAGTTAGTCATGGGAAAGGCTGTGTGAGCAGAGTCGTATTTAGTGGCAGTGCTCATTTTTTCCACCTCTGTGGACATGAACCAAGTTGCACCTTCGTTGTCAAGTGACAGAGTTGATTCCCAGTGCCAAGCCTGGCACCTGAGGCACATCTGAGCAGTGCCAGCTGGGAGCGGGCTGCTGATCTGAGGAGCTAGCAGGGAAGGGAGGTAGCACCCTGGCAACAAAGAAGGGAAGAACCCTGAACAGAGGCATTAAGGCTCCGTGCACACTGGTCTCATGGACCGAAATCATCCACGGTTTGCCCTGAGGCCCCCTGAGCTTGTTGGTGCCTTTATGGCCTCTGAGAGCGAGCCCAAGTGCTCTCATTTAACTGCCTGTGAATAGTGTCCTGAAAAGGAACCATGTCACCCAGAGCTGCCTTGGGAGAGGTTCAGCAGAGGACACGGTGTCTGGCCAAGGACCTTCACCGCCCCTCACAGGGGAGCTTTCTATAGAAGAAACAGCTGCCTGTGCTCATGAAAACAGAAAGTCGAAATACCAAAAGGAAGACCACCCAGATCTCACCACGCCGACCTCAAGATGGCCTTGCAGGCTCTTCTGCAGCCTTTTTTTTTCCTTCATGTAACTGCATGAGTATACTGATACTCATCGGTATCAGTATTTATGCATCTTTATCATAATGACTGCAGAGTCCTATGGAGTTAAACTATCTCTTGTTTTTTTAAAGATTTATTTATGCATATAGAACTGGGATGCTAAAGATTTATGTATTTATGCAGATAGAACTGGGGTACATGCCAGAGGTGCAGGGGGTGATGAGAGGATTCACCGGAGACAGAGTGGGGAGCAGAACAGGCAGACGTACTGAAATATACTGCTGAGGGGAGCAGCAGCTAAGACAGGAAATTGCGCCCTATGGTTGGATATTCGGGGCATTTCTGGAGTTGCTATGTTGGCAGTGGTAGAAGGTTTGGCTTTGCAAACACTAGAGTCGTTTTCCTTAGTGACAGATTCCTGCAGGGGACTTGCAGCCTCAGAAAGCCCCCTGCCCCCAGCTGGTGAGGGTATGAAGGGGTCCTGATGGGTCTGTGAGCTATTTTGCAACTGCCTGGCCACACCGCCCTGCCTGGCCCTTACCTGGTGTGTCCCATCTCTCTCACCAGGGTACAGTCCTGTTCCTGGAGCCTATGTCACTCTGACTACATGGCTCACCCCCTCCCATCTTGTCCACAGGCTCCCGGCGCGCGTCGTCCATTGCAGCTTCACGGCTGGAGGAAGCCATGTCGGAGCTGACCGTGCCCAGCTCTGTCCTAAAGCAGGGCCCCATGCAGCTGTGGACTACGCTGGAGCAGATCTGGCTGCAGGCTGGTAAGTGTCCCCAGTGCCTCCTGAAGGAGTTTGGGGGTGTGGGGGCCCTTGGAAAGTTTGACCTGGCCTTGGCACTCTCGCTCGCCTGGAGTGGGGCAGCCAGAGCTCTGGTCGCAGCTGTCTCTTCTTTGTTTCCCTGGGCAAGTCAGTCTACCTGGCGAGGGGCTGCTTCTCCGTGCGGGCATAGTGCCTGCCTGTCAGGAGGGGTTCTCTGGCAGCAAATACATATGAGAGGATTTGAGGGAAGGCCCTGCCAATAGCTAGCCTTCTCGTCACAGAAACAGGCCCCTCCCTCTTTTTTGCCCCCTTGTCCCCAGCAGAACTAGACCAGGCCCAGGAGCCTGCAGAACAGCAAGGAGGGGAGGTCTGCAGCGCCGGAGAAGTGAGCGCCTGTGGGAGTGGACTGGAAATGGGTTGTCATTCAGGCTGACAAGCTCATTAGCATTGGGGAGGCAACCTAAGAGAACCCCAACTTCGGAGTAATTCAGAGATGGGTTCTGATGTCACCTTACTGCCTGTGTGGTTGCTCTCGATGAGCTGTGGTGATTAAAACTGCAGCCCTGGGCACGTGGCTGCTGCTGGGAGGAATGGCGCTTGCTGGCACCTGCGTCCTGTCCCCCACTGCAGCTAGGGAGCAGGGAGAGGCTGGCGGCTCCTGTACCTGTGAGCTTCTCTGGTGGAGGCTAAGGCTGAGGAGGACTCGCTGGAAGCTTTGGAATTTTAAGCTGACTTGGTGGGAGAGGTGGATTCAAGAATAAAGAAAGAGAATCAAAGCCAGAGATGAGCTAGAATAAGATAAAATACCAGAAAAACAAAGAAGGGGATAGAATAGGTGGATTTCTAAAAAATGCCCCATCCCTAGAGAGCTGCCTGCTCGAAGCACCTCATCTTATTCTGAGTCCCTTTCTCTGAATACCACCAAGGAGGTGGGACCCATATCCCCCAGGGAGAGATGGACAAATGACCCAGGACTTGCAGATTTCCAAGTCAGCGTTAGAATATGCTTGTTCCCTGAGAATCTGAGGTTTCCTGCTGCCTGGATTCGCATATGGACACATTAGTATGCAGTCCGCCCCCTCTCTCCCACCTCAGGTTTTGAATCTGTAGGAGAAAAAATCAGACCAGGATTCACAGACAGACAGGGAGGCATTTTAATAATGCAGATATTGCCCCAGTTAGCAAACCAGAGTCCTTTAGGATGTGGGGGGTGGGAGAGACCCGTTCTGAGGTCAGCATGTTGTGGCTGCAGCAGGGGAAGGAATGTTGATATGCCCAGAGGAGTAATAGCAGATCCTCCTCTTAGGCAAAAGATCCTGAAGGCTTGTAGGTCGTGGAGGAGCAGACAGACTGGGGCCTGAGGCCCCACGGTGCCTGAGATGGGAAGCTCACCCACACTGGGGGCTTCACCACCTCCGGTGTGCAGGGTAACACTGCCTAGAAATCCGCTCTGCCTGCTGGAGCTCCCGAGGCCCTTTGTCTTAGTGATGCTCCTTGTTTACCACCATCAGCAAAGGGAAATGTTTTTGCATTTCATAAGCTGCTTGCCTTTCTCAGATATGCCCCTCTGCTAGGGATGCTGTGCATTCTGCTAACTTGAAGTCAAAGGCGTCCCCGAACCTGCAATTAGACCTGGGGATATTGATACTAACATTCACCCTTCAATAATTTGTGCATTAGTCTTTCTTCTCTAGATATTATCCTAGATATTCAGCCCACAGAGAATTATGGAAACAAAATCTGAATGTTTTGAATGAGGTCCCAGGTAAGGGTCGAGCAGTGTGGCGGGAGAGACAGGTTTGGGTATGTGGCCAGTGCAAACCGCAGGAGCTGCTTACAAGGTAGTGGTGGTTTTCCTGAATCGCTTTTTCTCATGTAACAATTCAGAGATGGCAGTGAACTGGGATGACAGTTCCTTCCATTTTGTGGCTCTTCTCTCCCTGAGGTATCTCCCTTGTCCCGTGGCCCCAAATAGCTCTCTGCCACCTTAAGATTCCAAGACATGAGAAAGAGTGGGAGAGGGAGACACTCCCCTCCCCCATAAGGACATATCCTAGAATTCACACACATTGCTTCCCTTCACTTCCCCTGGCCACAAGAACTCAGTCACGTGACCATACCACTGCAAGGGACTCTGGGAAATGTCATCCTCCTGGGTGTCCATGTGTCTGCCTCATTAAAAGTCAGGAGAACTATCGTCATAGCAGGAAGAATAGAATGGTGATCGGCTGCTACAGGCGGAAAGAAGTGAGGAGGTGTCCTCGGGCTTTCATTCTCAGCGTGCAAGGATTCTGGAACAATCTGCACTCCATGAGCCCTCTCCCTCCCTCAGCCTCCCTCTTATTAGCAAGCCTCTGAGCACCTATTGAATGAAGGGCTGAGAGCAGGTCACCAAAGCCAAGGCACTCCCTAACCGTTTTCACCTGACCTGCCTCGTCATCCCCACCCCCACCCAGCCCTTTGGCCTGAGAGTCCACCAGCTGCAGCAAGTTTGCAGGAAGAGAGAAATACCCCTTTTACCACTTTGGAATGAGCTCACCGCCCCCCCCCCCCCAGTTTGGTTAAAGATAAATTGCATCCCGACCTGTTTTTGCAGTTAGTGCCACCGTCAATTCACCCTGGCTGGGAAATGTGTCCTGCTTGTCCCAACCCCCCCCCCCCCCCTTCAAGTCTGCTTCCCATTCAGTCAGACACCAGCGGATCCTGGAGGGCTTGAGCCCGGGAGATTTGTCAGGAGAGAAGGAGAGAGAAAGGGAGCGGCATCTAGGCAAGCACTACAGGATCCTGAGTGTCAGAAAGGTGCTTTCCAGAACGGCAAGGGAGGGGGGGTGCTGCCTTCTGCTCTCAGCAATCCTCCTGCCTCTGGGAGCTGGCTGCTGAGACAGCAGGTAGGGATAAGGACCTGTGTTCCCCTGGCCTGGAGCCCAGGGTCCGTGGACTTTCCCGTGAGTCTCAGCTTCCCAGGGCACAGCCCCTGACGGAGTCCCGGGCCCTGCTCTTAGGGGCCCCTGCAAGTGAAGGTCACCCTAGGTGTCAGCCAGGCTGGGTTGGAGGGGTGCTGGGGGGCCAGCCAGGAGGGTCTATAAAAATTGTGTTTATTTTTAAAGTGCTGCATCGGAGCATCCATGGTCCCATTTGCTCCTGAGTCTTTTGTTTCCCTCATTCCTTTCTTCATCCTCCTTCAAGCTCCCTCTTTCCCAGCCCCCTCCTGCCTTCAGAGCCTTCTTCCTACACCCTCTCTTCCCTAGCAGCCTCTTCCTCCTCGCTGCTGTCTCACCTCCTCCTCCAGCATCTGAGTGAGAGAGAAAAGGACTCCCAGGACAGGAAGGGGGGGCCCCACACAACACTCTCTAGTGGCCTGAGGCAACTTGTGCCCTTGCTTGGTCCCAGGGGTGGGGAGCTTTAGGGAAAACCCTCTAGATTTTGGCTTTTCTGTTTTTCTCCTAGGCTTTCTCTGTGCTGGCCTCCCTGGTCTCTCTCAGCCACCTCCTCCCTCTGCCCCATGTGCTCCCCCCTTCCTTTTCTTCCTCTGTTTTAGTGCCCCTAGGTCCTAAGGGGCAGATCCTAGAGAAGGCCTGCTTATTTCCTCTAGGGGGCAGCTTTAGCCACACACACATACGTACCCCACCCCCACCCCCCAGGCCCAAGGCTACCTAAGGCCTTCAAAGACCCAAACTAACACCTCTGTGGGTGGGGACACAGGGGAGAGGCTCCTCATCTCCACCTCAGTTCAGAGGGACTCTAAGACTCTCACCTGGCCTGGGAAGGTCCCTAAAAGAACTCAGCCTATGCCCTCCCTGCAAAGAGTTAAGGAAATAGCTGGAGAGTAGGCCCTTCCCCTGGCGGGGTGGGGGTGGGGAGCTGATTGAAGGGGCTGGGCTTTGACAGGGGTGGTAGGAAGACTAGAACTCACTCTGGGTGCAGGGTGAGACCAGGATGCCTCAGAAAAAATAATAAAAGGGACTCTTGCAAAGCTCCAGGGAACAGATGTTTTCCATTTGGAGCCTGCCTAGAGAAAGCATAGGGGGAGGAGGGGCGGGGGCCGGGTGGAGAGAGATGGAGGAAGGAGGAAGAAAAGCTGGGCAAGAGCGGAGGTCAAGAGTAGGCAGAGGAGATGAGAAAAGAGATGAGGAGGGAGCGAGAGACAGGACTGAGGGTCTCAGAGAGGGACCTTCGGACCTAAGGGGAAGAAGGGCCCTGTCCACCAGGGTGATGACCTTGGCTGAGACTCAGGGCAGGCCAGCAACAAACAGTGAGTGTTCATCCAGCCCTGGCCAAGGGAGGCCCGGATGGGTGTGGGCACCGCCAGGCCCTGCGGGGAGTGTCTGGGGCAGAGGGCAGGAGCAGTTCCATGAGTCTCCTGCTGTAAGTGGGGAGCTCCATGTTTGGTAAAACCACAAGGGGGGTGAGGAGGGTTGGGGCACAAACCTCGGACCCTGAAGCTAGGAAGAAGCGCCAAGCTGTAGCCCCTAGACCTGTGGGTCTGTCTGCAGGTCGGCGGCCCCGCCCTGAAGGCCGGGCCTGCCAGGGACTGTCTGCAAGACAGCCAGGAGCCCTCAGGAGACCTCTCTCCTCTGGCTCTGCTCTGTGTCATCTGGTTTCCTGCCTCACTGGTAATGAAGGCCGCTGGAGCAGAGCAGCCCTACCTATTTGTCAGGGCATGTTCTCTTGTGTGGACACCCAGCACAGCTTAGGGCCCCTAGGAAAGAGGGAAGGGAGGCTCTCTGTAATTGAAATCTGTTGATGTGAAGGCACTGTGAGAGTCCCCAGGGAGGCACCAGGGACAGCCTTGGGAGACAGGGCAGCAAGCTGTAAACAGTCTTAATGAGCCATGCCTGGGCCAGGCGACCAGGTGGACAGGCCTGGGGCAGGCCTTCTGGGACAGGGCTAGGAGAAGGGAAAGCCTGGCTCTGGGGCCTCAGAGAACTGAGCAGTCACAGGGGCTGGTGCCAAACAAGCTCTCCTCCCCCACCCTTCTTAACATTTTACCTTGAACTTCCTTCTGCTTTTCCCCCCATGACCTGGGGGAGTTCTGCCAAGATGGACCTATGCCCACAGTCTTTCTTCACCTTTCGACCACAAGAAATTCCCCTGTACCTTTAGGACCCCTCTCAAATGCCACCTCTTCCTCCAGGAAGGCTTCCCTGGCCACGCCAGCACAGCTGACCTGAACCCTTCTGAGTACCCAGAACAGAAGTGACACTTGTGTCTCACTGCCCTGCCCAGCAGTTTGGTGCCCTGGCTGCCCTTCTTCCCCTCCACCCTTTCTCCTCACGGGAGGCCCAGGCACACAGTCAGTACTCAGTAGGTGCACAGTGGCCGCTCTGTTATGAAAGCAACCTGCTCAGCCCCACCAGCAGCTCCGAGGGGATCAGCAAGGGCCAATGAGAATGGAGGCCCAGGTCGCCAAGCCCCTGGCTGCTGGGCCATCCTTCCCTGCAAGGGCCTGTGCTCAAAGGCCTCCTCTCCTCTGGCCTTGCTTTCCTGTGTTTTCTGCCTTGGGACTCCCCAGTGAAGACTGTCTCCAGGGACAGGAGCCTTTCTCTGTCGCCTTACTGTGGGAAGCTGGTTTCTCTGTGGTTAATTAATTTCTCCGATCCTCCCAAATTCTCATCTTCACCAGGAAAGGAGAGCACCTTGCTCAAAAAGGCCTCTGTTGTATTTTAGGATGCGGCCGGCGGCTTTGTTGCACAAGAAGCTTGAGGCAACTTGCATGCTCAGTCCCCCAGTGCTGTGTGTTGCAGTCAGGCCAGTGCGGCTGCCTTCCTGCTTCTTCACAGAACAGGAAGATGGGGTGCCTGGGCCTGCTTTTTCTACCTCTTTCTGAGAACTTCCTTTGGGGATGTCTGTTACCCTCCCCACCCCAGACCGCGTCTGAACTCGCGTAACCTCAGCTCCCAGCCTCTGCTAGGAACAGCTCTTGGCAAAGCCCCACGAGGCTCTGCGTGCCCTTCTGCGCTCCCATCTGCATTCGGGCCTTCTGTGCCTTCAGTCTGGGCACGCACCCTGGGAGGGGGCAGCCGAGCCCCCCCAGCTGCTGTGAGAGGAAGGCTGAGTGGGCTACGAGGCCCAGCTGCAACCCCCTAGGCCACATTTCTAACAGTGCCTGCCGTGGGTGTACCTGCCGTGGGTGTTGAAAATGTGCTTTTATGCAGGCTGGTCCAGGATAAGAGGAACAGCCCGATTTAACTCTGCTGGGGGGAATAAGGCAACCTGGTCACAGGCAGATCCTCTCTGCCGGGAAAGGCATGTGCGCCCGCATTCCCCACCTAGCCCCCTTCCCTTTTCACGTGGGAAGAAGTCCTGAGCGCTGGAGGAGGGGGTGCTGCGGGGGGCCCTGCCTAGCCCCTGCCTAGCCCCTGCCTACTCAGGGACTGAGCGGCAGAGGTGGGCCGTCAGTTTCTCAGAGCACCTGCCTCCTGCCCCAACTTGTGAGCATTAGCTGCTCCGTAGAGCCCGGGCGGCCACAGCTGGCTCCCAGGAAGCGCAGGGGGGTTGTGGCCGGTTTGTGGCTGTCACGGCACTCCTGGGTGGGAGCCCCGGCTCTGGCCCTTCCAGACGCATGAAGACACTTCCTTCCTCCTCCCGCCCCCTTCCCTGGCAGGATCACTAGGCTCTGGTCTTGCTCTGTCTTGCTCTATGCACTCTCCTGCTTCATCGGGACCACAAGGGTGGAGTTAGCTCTCCAGTTAGCCTCCCTCCCCAGAGACTGAGGCCTGGGGGGAGGAGCCACCATCTGCTTCCCTCCCCTACCCCAGACACAGAATGACCGGTGGAGTGCAGGGACACTGAAAAAAGGTTCCTCAGCAAAGGCTGAGCTCCAGGGGCCACCAGCCAGACTTCCACTGCCAGGCCCTGAAGTCAGACAGCCCAATGCCAACCTGCTCTCCCTGTGGCCTTAAGCAAGTCCCTCACCCCCTCTGGGCCCAGTTTCCCCCTCCTTGAAGTGCACGATAAAAGTGCTTGTCCTGCGGGTTTTGTGGACATTGGCTGAGATGGTCTGTATGGAGCACAGAGCACGCGCCGGGCTGAGCGGGCACTTGGGAACCACTGCTGGGGTTACTGCTGCACCCCAAGGCCCAAGCAAGCCCGTCTTGTGCCGTGACTTGATGGGAGGGGTGCTGTCACCAAAGCCCAGATTCCCAGCTCTGGGGCTGACAGCCGGATGCAGGGGTGAGGGCCGCTGCCTCTGACTCTCCCACCCCCCTCACCTCCCACTGCCCTTCTGGTTTCACAGCTGAGCTGTTCATGGAGCAGCAACACCTTAAGGAAGCAGGTTTCTGCATCCAGGAGGCAGCGGGCCTCTTCCCCACCTCCCATTCCGTGCTTTACATGCGGGGCCGACTGGCGGAGATGAAGGGCAACTTGGAGGAGGCCAAGCAGCTGTACAAGGAGGCGCTGACGGTGAACCCTGACGGCGTGCGCATCATGCACAGCCTGGTGAGTCGCCCCCCGTCCACTCCCCCAAGCCTCAGGGCCTCCTGTCCGCACTGTGGCCTGCCAGGGCTGTCCAGCTGCTGTTGCTTGGCATTTATGGGGAGGGGGCTAGCTCCCTGCTGAATGGGGAGCAAAAAGTCCTCACAGAGGCAGGCGTTCCCCTGGAGGAGAAGCGTCCTGGAGGGTCGCTATCTCCCCTGGGACTTCCTTTTTGCTCTAAGGGTCTGTAAGACCATCTAGCCCCAAAGGGCTTTCACTGCGCTCATCAAATCCTTGTTCGGGAGGCTCAAGGCAAATGCTAAAAAGCTCTTCTTTGTAGGGGTCTCCTCCCCCCAGACCCTCTGCGGACTGCCTCCCCGTTTTGGAGGAGCTTCCTGCCTCGTTGGTGGGGTTCACTATATGTCTGGTGTGGGTGTCAGGCCAGACTCAAACACACATTGAGTATGCCCCCTGGGGGGCTATGAGGGCCCAGCAACCCCCAACCCTGAGACACAGAACAAAGGAATCTGGTGCCCAGGGCGCAATAGTGACCTTTCCGTGGGAAGGCTCAGAGCAGCCGGGGCACTGGTGTCCTTGTCCTGGCTTTACCATGCTCTTCCTGGATGATGATGGGCAAGTCAGCTGACTCCTCTGTACAGGAGGGGTTTACCTGTCTGTGAGGGGGCGCCTCTGGCCCTGCCTGCAGTGCTCGAGGACCTGCTGTGACAGATGGTAGGTAGGTGGAGATGACCATCTTCCCTGTCTTCCCTCGCTGCTGTCAGAGTAAGTGTCAGGGTCTGCTTGTACACTGATATTTGAAGCATAATTTAAGAACTCAATTAGCAACAGTCTTCCCCTGCCAAGGTGTACCTTCCCTGGGGGTGTCACTGATGTCTGCCACATGGAGACGGAAAGGATCAGGAGAACAACTCCAGAGGGCTGAAGGTGAAGGGTGATGATGCCAAGAGGGGTCTGATTTGCTCATGAGCTGAAGCTTCAGGGAGCTCAAGGTCAGCTCCGTCTCAGGAAAATTAGTACTGCCCTTAGAACAGGCCACGCGCAAACTCGGGGATCCTTTAGTGGGGATGTTGCCAAGAGAATAGAGAGACAGAGGGGTGAGGGGGGAGGGCTGGGCCAGGCCATCTTTGTAATGTCCCTTCCAGCCCCGCAAGCCCTGGGAGACCACTGCCACCCCCACTCTGCGGGACTTCTCCAGGGAGTTCCAGCTGAGGCCCCTGAATGCCCGCTCACATAGGGGGCGCAGTGACATTACAGCCTGGCTGTGCACCCCCAACACGGCCCGTGTTACCTTCCCGGCTGCTCAGCAAATGTCTGTTTTTCACTAGCCTCCTCCTCCTCCTTCTTTCCGCCATTCAGACATTATCCCCTCTGATAAATTTCTCCCCGGAGGTCACATCCAGAAACTTGATTAGCCGTGAGGAGGACATGGACTTGGTGCCCAGGCCTGCAGCCAGACCGCACGGCCGCCTTCCTCTGCTCCCAGGCAGGCGCCTGCCATCTGAGTCCCTGAACCCGATGGAATCCAATAACAAGTACAATTTTGAAGTAACAGTGCACCATTTTTCATTTATGCTTATTATTGTTTGTAGCTATTTTCCTGAAATTGAAGCTGCCTCCAAGGGTGGGTTTCCATGGTAACTGAATAGCTGTCCAGAGTGGCTCCCCAGAGATGTTTCTGAAAAGGTCCCTTTTCTCCTCCTGGGGGGCCTTGCTGATTCGATGAAATTGGAGCAAGTCCGAGCCAGGCCTGCCCACTGTTAAGTTACCGGCAGCCAGAGGGGCCGTTGGCTGTGGCGTGGGCTGCCCATCCCGCTTCCACATGCACTGTTCCTGCCAGCATCCCACACACACACATAAAAAATAGCAAACTTCAAGCCTGGGGAAGATCCACTAAGCCCTCTTTCCCCAAAGACATGTGAACACTTGGCATGTTGAGCCCCAGCGTTTGCTGATCTCAGTTCTCTGTGCCTGCCCCAGACTCAGGCCATCTGGCTCTGGCCATACCATCCTGCGCTCTCACTGAGTCCCTTGGGTGACGGAGGGAAAGACCCACTTGACTCCCATGCTCCTGAAAACGAAGTGGTGCACTGAAAATCTGCAGTGCATAGCAGAGAACACAAAACCACCCTCCCGTCCTTCACCATGGCAGGTGTTGCCTGAGAGCCACAGCTCTTTGCCCTGCAGAGCGCAGATAGAATGTTTCTCGGCGCGGTAGACCATGATGGGGGCCACGACCAGTCGGTCTAAATCAGCTTAGCGTTTTTTTAGGGAAGTCACCATAAAAAGAGTTGGTCACGAAACGTGTGTTTCAGTTTTTGTGAACTTGGCATGCTCCGAGACTGAGCAGAGAAAGGGACACGTTGAGAAACTGGCATTTCCCCCATGGAGTCATTGCCAGGGCAGGTTCCCAGGGTAAACATCCTTCCCTGAGCCGTGGCTCTGTGAGGACATTGACCTCCGTTGGGTACAAGAGGAAGGCGAGGCATCCTCCCCACAGTGCCTGGCCACCCCTGCAGCCTGGGCTGGTGGAGGTCTGCATCCCTCGTGAGCTGCGTGGGTGCCAGCTTCAGCCCTGCAGCCCTTGGGGTGGGGTCGGCACAAACCAGGGGCCTGGGGCTGTGTGCACAGAAGAGGTGGGGTTTCCAGGGCTGGATAAAGCCCTCTCAGAGTGGAAATGGTTGTTTTCGAGAGTCAAGGCTCAGGCATTTTTAAGAATATAAACTTTGGCCTAATAAGCAGATTCTCTTGCCCTCCCTGCCCTGGAAATGAAAGATGTTTTCATGGTTCTGGCTGCACTCAGATCAGGCTTTTCTGCCAGATCAGCCAGGAAAGAGACCCCTCCTAGAGCGTGTCCTACTAGGGCAGTCTCCACGGTGCCCACAACAGCATCCCCTGGGAGACTGTACCGTCAAGCCCTGGTTCTGCAGGCAGCTGCCTCTGCCACGCCCGGGGATGGCTAGTGACTGGTCTGCCAGAAAGAAAAAGGCGTGCTCTCTGCAGATGGAAATTCCCAGTAAAATCTCAGAAGCAGGTTCTGACAGCCTGTGCCAGCTCTATCTCAGCTCCCCTGCAGGAGTCCGAACCCCCACTCAGCCTGGGTGTTTAGAACTTAATTTGCTGGCAGAAGAGTCTAATCCAGGGAAGACTGAACCTTACCTGCCTTCCCCTGAGGAAGTAGGAGAAGAGGAGCAAGGTCCTTCCCAAGATGAGCAGAGCTGCTCCCAGGTCAAGAGTGCTGCATCGGTGTAGCCAAGAAGGGACCCCCAGGCAGCCTGCACCCATCTTTCTCCAAACCTGTCTCTGGATTGCCGCCTCCCGGGACCCATGCACCCGGCCCCTCCAAGAGAGCTGGGCTACCTGGGGACAGCAAAGACACCCAGGAGTGAATGATGGAGTGGTTGAGTCCCTGAGAAACACACACACACACACACACACACACACACACACACACCCCGAGAAGGGGGTTCCCTTGAGGTCACTTGGTCTAGATGGCAGGTGGGTCATCGGCTGTGGCTACGCTCGGACTCACTTTCCTTGACCTGTTGGTTGAACAGGCTGTAGCGCAGCCTGTCTCACTGCAGGAGACAGCTTGAAAGCCTCAGCCATGAGTGGGCAGGCACGCTGCATCCCTGCCTCCTGCGCTTGTGGGTGGTGCCCTGCCCTCTTCTTGCTGGGACAGACTGAGGGGGTCGGGGCTCCCCGATGCATCTGTCTGTCCCAGCTTTGCTCCTCACTGGCCCCTGCGCCCCTGGTCTTGCTTTCTTCTTGGAGCACAGCTCCAGGCTCCTGCAGCCTGTCTCCCCAGCAGCCTTTCTTCCTGGGGTGGGGTGGGGAGGCTCCCCTGCAGCAGCAGGGAGCCTGCTCTGTAGGAGCACGGGTTCCTGTGATATGAATCCCAGGATGTAATTTCTGAAGCAGTCCTGGCTGTGTGACCAGCCTCTTCTCTCTCCAGACCCTAGAAAGACAGGAATACAGCATTTCTGTCATCTGTTGCCTCTGATGAGAGCGTGGTGATGAATTATTCCCCTTAATTTGTTCCCTTTTGCTCCCAGCGTGAAGCAGACTGTCTTGTTCTTTAAGTGGGTTTGGAGGATCCAGAGCATGATCATGGCATGCAGCCATCTCCAGATGGCCCCAGGGCCTCTCACCCCCTCCCCAGGCTGGGGTGTGCAGTGGCACATCTTAAGTCCCCTGAAGCTCACCGGGCCATTCCTCCTCCTTCCCGTGACTGAGGTTCTGGGGTGAGCCTTTTGCAGGCACTTCAGACATCCAGCAAGAAGGGCTGATCTCTAAGGGTGACACGCCAGCAGCACACATCTTCCCCCTCCCCCCTCCTCAGCTAGCCCCCCTCTCTAGCCCTGGGGGTTGGGAGCAGACAGAAGAGGCCATAGACCTCAGACCTGGCGACAGTCGGTCCTTACATTCCCTGGTCCCTGGCTCAGTTTCCTCGCCTATCAAATGGGGACAAGGAGTCAGGCTTTTGTGGCCTTGGGCAGTAGTTTTAGGACTGAGATGAGCTAAGAGCTATAAAAAGATGAAACACCATTGGTCATTTTTGTCACCATTTGCATGAGATTTGATGGCAAGTGACCTGAGCACCACTTGGAACAGACTGCGTGAGGTGAAGGTCATTGGCTCAAATTTCCTTGCACTGCAGGGGCAGCAGGGGGAGCTTGGTGCCAGCAAGGGTACTGAAAAGGCAGGGGGCTGCTGGGCAGGAACCTCAGAATTGCCTGTGGGGCCAACTTGGCTAGGGCTGGTGGGCTGGGGTGCTTTTAAGCCTCCTTAGCGGAGCTGGTTCAGGCCTGGAGTCCCCAGCACAGCCTTGAGTCTGACCCGGACCTGAGTCTCTCTTCACCTTTACTTGCCATTTAGTGTAGCCCAAGTTCCTCTGTCTCAGCATCTCAGTGACCTGCCTGTAAGCTGGGACTCGCGATGCCAAGCGCTGAGGGCTCATCATAGAACTGGGTGAAATCATTGTGTAAGTTAGTGGCCCAGTAGTT